CCCCCCCCCCTGCATCTCCTGTCTGCTCGCCTCATCGATTTAATATGGTATTCCAAAGAGTTTTTGTCGGTGGAGCCCGCCGAATGCTCGTGAGATGACTTCTTTGTGTTTGTGAAAATAATGTTTCTATTTCGCGTGTGTTGTCGACATCTATTCTGGCGCCAGTCTTAACAAAACAGTTATCTGCTGCTGCAGTAGAAGCATGTGGTGATAGAGATAGAAACATTATAGGCGTACGGTCACGAGATTCTCCGGGCCGCTTCTATCGCCGTAGGTGACGAAAGATATCACACACCCTGGGGCGATTTTCAAATCCTCGATTTTCTCCACAGCGGAAAGGGTGGATGCGCCGAAAACGATGGTGTTGAAGCCGTTTGGTCGAGAGCTTGCCGAAAAAATATAGTTTCATTTATGCATCTCCTTTGTCGAGGAGAAGTCGACAAGCCGGGTAAGGGGATGTGGTATCTTGCGTCACCGGCGACATCTGTCTTGTTGGCAGTTCTGCCTTTTTGGCAGCATTGATGGCGATGCTCATCGCAGCGAGTGCTTCTTTCTCACCACAATAAAACTATCATGTGGTTGATTCAGTCCAAAACTACAGTGCTGCTGTAATTCCGTGGGTCCACGTGATATGCTGAACTCGAGAAGAAGGGCTAGACTATTGCTGTGTACCCATCATTGGAAATAAATGCTGAAATCATAAAATCATGCCGCAAAGTTGCGTAAGATACCACACCCCTGGACGGACCGATTTTCAAGGCGCGGTTACTCCACGAGGAAGAGGATGCCAACAACAAATAGTACGTTCGCTACCAAAGGTATGGTTAAGACGAACACACACACAGCGGGCTGGTCCGGCCGGTAATAATAATAAATACACGAGCACAGCAGGTGAACAATGTTGGTACGTTGCTACCTCCGACGGCAGAATCCCGAACCATCACCAAGCAGCGAGTGCCCAATGCAAAGCATACCCACGCATTTCCTACCCTTACCGCTTCAACGCAGTTGGATGTAGTTTTCTTGCCGCCGCTTTCACACTTGAGGTGGAGAGTGAACAACCAGGGGGGCGGGGGGAGATCTCTCGCCCTGGTGAGACCTGCTGCTTGTACCTCTTCGCAACGGTCTGTGGAACGTTACATGCGTCGAAATTTCGGGGAAACTCCGTAAATTGGGGACTTGTCCGCAGAAACTCCCACGGACGCGAGGAACGGCGAACTGTTTTATTCGGTTCTATTAATAATACAGAATCTGGTGCGCACCCAGACTTCACATGTTACCCAGACGAAAGTAATAGAGCGGTCAAAGAACTCTCGGAGTAACGTGTGGCGGGTCCTTGCCGCTTTGCAGCGAAACCAGACCAAGAGTTTGTTGTAGAGTTACAGTAGAGTTGAGTGTGCGGCCCAACAAGAGCGGAGAGTCTGAGGTTGCGTTGGGTTGAGATGTGGAGATGGGGCTGCGGCCAGTGAGCGCCTTTGCGAGCTGCGCGGGCCGGGAACACCCCACGGCACCAACTCGGCGCAAGTAGGGGTGTAAAACCACAACGAGACCACGTGACATCACACGTGTTAGTTGTCGGGCCTTCCTTGCTTCAAGTTGGCAGCTGCACTACATGTACGTGTACGACATTTTTTCGAGCAGCCAGCGATCGTTGGCGAGAAGACGAGGAGGACCAGAGGCAACACGTGCAGACTACTGTATGTAAAGCATTGGGTATCTGGCGCCAGAGTAATATCATCAAGGAAGTAGATGGTCATTTGAACCACGGCAGTCTGGAGAGACAACGCTGCGTTCGGAGCCCTGAGGTCTTCAAAACCGTGGCAGAAACAAACAATCTCAGGGCTATCATACGTCCAACTTGAACACTTTCATTATTGTCCATCATTGAGCTTTGAATTTGCTCACGCAAACTCGCTTAGGGAGCGTTGTAAGCCTCGACAAATTCGATAACGTCTTGCAGGCTCCGCACCACAGGTTTTGCCCTCCGGACGGTAGGGGACCGGAATGGACACGGGGTCGCGGAGGAAAATATGGTTTGGTTTCAGTATGTATCCGGTGGCATACAAAAAACAAGACCTGCAGTAGCGAGAGAGAGAGAGAGNGAGAGAGAGAGAGAGAGAGAGAGAGAGAGAGAGAGAGAGAGAGCACGCAGTGAAGTGCCTGACGCATTGAAAGTTTCAGAAACATTAGTTTCCCGTGGATGCCGATTGCTTCCGAACTTGGCGGGGTTGGACGGCTTAGGCTTCGTGCGGTTCTGGAGGAACAGATAAATAGAAGAGGGAGGGAGCAAGTTCGTTGCTCCTGGCTTCGGGTACTCACAGTTAGTTTTTGTTTGATCTCTTGTTTTAGCCTTCTTAGACCAAGTCCGCTCAGCGCCCACTCGGAGAGTGAGGGAGCGGGGCTGGGATTTTGATCTTCCTTCAAGCTATTTCAATACCCCTCAACGACGCAAAATATCCATATCCATGGAAAATTCAAAATATCCAATAAGCGCTCAACGCTCATGAAACGCTCGTACAATGCTCATACACTACTAGTTGCTCCATTACATGAGGCCACCCTGTGAAGTCGTAGATGCAGATACTTTATCTTCAATCCGATACTCAACCTCAAATAAAGATCGAAGATGCGACTTTCCAAATCAGACAAAAATAAGATAAAATAAAAGCAACTAGGATCGGAGAAAATAGTTCATCCCCGACAAATACTCCAAACCATCCCCACACCACACAGTGATGACTACTGAGAATCACATCGCCAACTACGGAACCAGTCTGATCAAAANACTCAACCTCAAATAAAGATCGAAGATGCGACTTTCCAAATCAGACAAAAATAAGATAAAATAAAAGCAACTAGGATCGGAGAAAATAGTTCATCCCCGACAAATACTCCAAACCATCCCCACACCACACAGTGATGACTACTGAGAATCACATCGCCAACTACGGAACCAGTCTGATCAAAACGGGGTTCGGTCGTGGTGGAAACGCGAAGGTCGGGGTGACTATTGCAACAATAGTCGAAGCTCACACCACCCAAACACGCGCTAGCCTAACACTGCGTTCGATGTAGAACAAAAAATAAACATCAAAAACATGTAGCGGCCCGGCATGATATCAAAGCACAGATCCAGATGGGGCAACGGCCAGTTGTGCCACAACGCCTGGTGTTCGCGATGTAACGCCATCATCTGTGGAAGGGTTGGTCAAACCACGAGTACGGTGTTTTCGCAAGCACCAAGAACCGCAAGGAGCATCCAAAACCGTGGAGTAACTATACTCCGGGAGAGACAGCTGTCGAGGGCCGGGGGTGTCCAAAAATCGAACAATGTACTGGCCTATTGCGAAACTACTAATCTGCCCAAGCCACCAAAGTCCATCCAAAGCTTTGTACCATATGTGGGCTCCGACAGGCGAAACAGAAACAGAGAAGCGAGCCAACCCAGCGTCACGCGAGACCAACTCGTACCCGGGAGCAATGAAACGTTCGGCCTGATTCCGAGCAAGTTCTCGGTCGGCCGAAGCGATTCGAGCAATACGATAAGCTCGGTTCCCTTGAACGCGCTGACTAGCGTTACCGGACCAGTAAAGAAAAAGTGTTTTCTGTATTCCTGCAAATCGGACCCCCTTTCCCACGGCGGTGTCAATAAGCCCATCCAACGAGTCAGGTACAAGACGGTTACCACACAACCTCGCCCACGTACAATTTGGTGTCCCGAGATATTCTCAACATTCAGACTTCTAGACTCTGCAACAATATTGTCAGTAGCCAAATTATACGGGCGAGACTTGTTACTATTCGAGTGCAAAACATATTTCGACAGATTGGCCGGCGTGTACTTAGGCAGGTCATCCGTGTCGTATGGGTTGGCACACGGTTTGCACCGCAAGACTGAGACACCATTGCGAGATTCTGGTCCCAGCATGTCTGACGGCAGGTCCAGGTAGAAGAATTTTGCGCTCCACAGGTTTCCCATCCGGTAAATCCTCCGCTTTGGCCGGGCCAACAGCAAGGATCTTATACGGTCCGGAAAAGTTGAGCGAAAGCTTCGCTTTGAGCACCAAATCATCGGTGTGTTTCCGCACACCCTGCCGAATAGTAGCGGCGGAGTAATAGACCCAAGCCCAACCACCAACGTCGTAGTTCGGAATCTGACGCAAACCGTCCAACACGCAGACTTCCGACGTTCGACACGCAACACCGTGATCGCATGTTGTTCCCGCACCAAAGCGTTGGCTCGTCTCTGGCGTTCCACCGCAAGATTGCAGAAAGCGAGCTGGTCTCGATCAAAACTTTGATGGCTACCCACGCTAGAGTGAGTGGTCCAAAACAGAAACCGGGAGACGGGGAAACCGTCCAGAATGCACTTCATTCGGCGGCAAGCCCGAGTTGTTGTGGGCAAACTCGACATGGGGAAGATGGACGTCTCAATCGTCTTGACACTCATTGACCACGACAGCGAGCATTTGGGCCATTGTGTGGTTCACACGCTCGATCCCACCGTTAGTTTGGGGGTGGTACGAATTGGTGGTGACTTTCGTGATCTTCATCAGCTCGTAAATAGCCATGGACAACTTGGAACAACAATGCATGCCGTTATCCAAAAGAAGAGTCACCTTAAAACCCCACAATGCCATGCAGCGGTTGACGAAAATGTTAGCCGTTCCCTTAGCGGAAAATTCCGCCTTGATAGCGGCATACATACCCGCCCGTCGACTGAAACAGTCTAAAAACAAAACTATACATGCATTCCAACGGGACGTGACCGGCAATGGCCCCAAAAAATCGACGTTCACTACAATACCCGGCCCATTCGGGAGGGGCAGAGTGAGCGTAGGCCAGCGATACGTTTGCCGGGAAGTCTTGCGCGCTTGGCAAATTAAACAATGCCGAAGCCACCAACGGACGGACAAGTCCATCCCAATCCACCAGAAAAATCGCTCCGACATACGTTAATTCCGAGCGGTGCCCAGGTGAAAAGACGCGGTGGCGTGAAATGCTTGTAAGACCCAAGGTCGCAACAGCATAGGCACGATTATTCGCGGAGTCTTGGAAGGCGGGAGGCGAGTGATACTCCCGCCCGAACTGCCGACAGGCAGTGGGGCATAATTTCGCGCCAACAATCGCGTACAATCGTCCGTAGTGTGTAGGCATGTTTTAAATGCGAGGGCGACAACATCAGACAACGCCGGCCGTCGCGCACAGGGCAAGAAATTCCAGAATGTATCCGGCAAAACCACCAGGGATTCCAAAGACAAAAAATGTATAGCCGCCACACACTCGCTTTCCGACATATGTTCGCGGACCCAATCGGCATGCGAGAATGTATGCACACAGTCGCGGAGGTGAGCTTCCTCAGCGGTCGTGGGCGGCACGACGGGAGCCTCAGGGCTAGTACCCGCGGGCGACAACACTGGAGGCGTGGGCACCGCGGGCGGCGGTGGCGCCGGAGTGGCAGAAGCAGGCACGAGTGGCGGCGGCGGCGGCAATTCAGCCGGCGACGAAGAAGGCGGCGGGCCAGAAGTAGGGCTACCCACGGCTGTCGTAGACCGCGCGGCACCGCTCGACCTGGCCGGTGTTCGAGGAGGCCGCGGCATCCTGGACACCACAACGGCCCGTGGTTGTTACGGAAAATATTTGGGACGGCTGTGAGCCGTGCCAGAGGCCGAATTCGTTCTCGCCCGAATACGAGCAGGAATCAGAGGGCCACGCGAAAGCGACAGGGCAGCTGGGGAGGTTCCGACGGTGGACGAGGGAGCGACGTCTGGCTTCGCAGAAACGGAAGCCGGAGGACGTCCATCGGGCACAGAACTCACGGGGGCTGCATCGCAAACTACAGCGAAAACACCAGGAGGCGAAAAAATCGACGAGTCAACTACGGAGGAGGGCGACGGAGCCGTAAGGACCATTTGTGGCCCATAACGGTGGAAGTCCCCAAAGTCACCCTCCGTCAAAGGCGCGTGTGCCAACGCTTTTCGTTGATCGTCAATGTCAAGCCCACCCAAGCCGATGTTCGGCGTCGAACTAGAGTGATAACTCCGTCCGCACGCATGAATGATACAAACGCCCGCGGCGTCATCGACTGCGATGCTGGTGTCACCGTGTCTGCCCGCGTCGGTCGCCGGCAAGGGCAACCGCGAAAGAAAATCCGCATTGGCGTTGGCAGCGCCTTTGCGGTAGACAAGGCAATAATTGAACGAGGAATGGAACTCGAGCCAATTTTGAACGCCGGCGTTGTGTTCACCCACCTTGGCGATGCTTTCCAAAGCCTTGTGATCAGAATAAACCAGAAAGTCCGTTAACAAAAAAAAATCGCGCAGGCGTTCGATTGCCCACGCGATACTGCCAGCCTCCAAATCGAGCACTGTCCAATTGCGCTCGGATTCGAGTGTAGCGCGGCTAACGAACAGAATGGGGCGGTCGGAACCATCGGCTTGTTCCTGTTCGAGGGCCGCACCAAAGCCATCCACACAGGCGTCACAGTAAAGAAAACCGGAGAGGGCGGCTGCCATCCGCGACAGCGTACCAATCCGGGAAAGCCAAAACCGGAGCTTCGGACAGTTTCGCCAAGAGTTCTTTGACAGTATCTGCCATAGCCGGCCTAAAACAAAACTTCGCGTCCTCACGCAAAAGGTCGGTGAGTGGTTTCACGCGCACGGCCAAACCCTTGATGAATTTGCGGTAATACGAAAGCCCACCCAGCAAGGAACGCAGCTGCTTGACGTTGGTTGGCAGCGGAATTTTTGAGAGGGCTTCGACTTTATCGGCACGAGGACTAACACCCGCAGGGGAGATGGTGTGGCCTAACGGACAGTCTCCTCAGCGCCGAGGCGACTCTTCAAAGGAGAAAGCTCGAGGCTGTACTGGCGCAAACGCTCCAAAAATAACCGTACGTTGGCGACACGGTGGACGGGGTCGGCGTCTAGCACAATCACATCGTCTAGGTACGCAAGCACATGGTCCAGACCTTTAACCACTTCGTTGATGACCATGGTGAACCACGACTGTGCAACGGAGCTTCCCTGAGGCATACGGAGTCACTCGAAAAGTTGTGTGGGCGTGCAAAACGCCGTAAGCTGAACGGTGTCCTCCTCGACGGTGATATGGTGTAAAGCGAAGTTTAGATCAAAAATGGAAAACACCTTGCCCTTGTGCAGGGAATCGATGATGTGGTCAACACGCGGCCGCGGTTTTTGGCCAAGGCTGCACAATTTGTTTAGCTTTTTGTAGTTCACGGTCAAACGAAGATTGCAGTCCTTTTTAGGCATGACAACCAGAGGGCTCGCCCAAGGCGATTGCGAATGCTGAATAAGTCGGCAGCAAGGTATTGATCGAGAATTGCATCGACCTTTTTCTTCACCAGATGGTTGAGCCTATAGGGACGCGAGGCCAACGGTTTCGCCCCCGGGGGCACTTCCAAACGAAACGGTTTCAAGGAACAGCAACCGGAATCGGACGGTGGCCGCAAAAACACATCTGATAAGCCACACAGCACATCCGCCAGGCTGTTGATGGCTTCCGGGGTCTAACCCGAGTCATGTAAATCAAAAATGACATCGTGTAAATGTGCAGGCAAACGTTGCCACAACTTGCGAAATCTCACTCGCTGCGTGTCCGAGAGGCGTTCCGACAGGTCCGGTGGCGGTGGTTTCGGCGGCAGTGGGGCCGCGGGAGGGTCCGAGATCTCCGGATCCGCAACCGGGATGTTCGAATGCAAGGAAGTCACGCGAGACGGCGACCCACCCTCGGAACGGGTCGGCGGCGTAGGGTCACTCGACCCAACACTCTCAGCCGTCTGCGGTGTGGGATCGATCGACTCAAGCGGAATTTGCACAAGTGGGGCAGTCGCCACTCCAAGCACGTCACCGGGCTCCAACTCGGCGCACCCTGTCAAAAGGATGTGTTGAGGCCCGTCCGAAACCAACTCGTCCGACGCCGAGAGGGCGCCGTGTTTCGGTAAAAAACGTGACAAGATATCTGCCGGTGAGTGCAGGAGTGCCAGAATTGCGAACGAGGTTCACCCTTGTCAATGTGGGTTTATCGGAAAGGGAGACACCCTTCCTGCCGGCGTACCGCATAAAGGTCTGCCGTTTCAGCCACAAACGGCAACGAAGACTCAATCCTGAACCAAGGGCAAGTGGGAAGCTTCCACCCTTCACTCTGCCATGGCGTAAGGGAACGAAAAAAAGGTCAGGCACAGATGAGAACGATACTACGACAGGCTACGGACCTGAATGAGTGGTAGTGGGAAAGAAACCGTTGGCGCTCCTTCTCTTTCCGACGACAGGTCCACCACCCTCTGCAGGAAGGTCACCTGAAGATCGAATCCAAACGCAATGAGCCCGCGAAAAGCGTCGTGGTGGAACAATTTGCAGGTAGAAGCTATTGATACGGGCGAAACGTCGCATGCCCTCCACAACGCTTCTGGTGCAAATCTGCAACTTTCAATCAAGGCAAAACGCAACACGAAATTTGGCTTGTTTCGCCGTCGAGCGAAGGTTGATGAGCCCTTTCTACAAGAGAAAAATTGCCTGTATTCAACGCACGGCGCCAGACGAAACAAGGCCATCAACACTATAACCGGCTGCGGGGCGGATGGAATGCATCCAATCAACTTCAATCGCGAGGGAACCGGAAGCAGATGCTCGGAGACAGAATAGAACGTTTCAAATGACCCGATACGGCCGGATGAATCCCACAGTCAACCAGTACCGGTCATTGGCAAGATGCTCGCAGCTCTTGAACAGCTGCCCGATTACGACGCCTGGAACGCCTTCAGTGACCTAGGACAAGGCATGCATCAAGCGCGGTATTCCAGGTACAATAGACCATATGGAAGCTGACGATGGCATTCATGTTCTATTTATGCTAAACTACCTCGTCGGGCCGTGCTCAGAATCCATCCGGACAGCATGGTCACAACCTGACAAAATAGCCAAAAAACAATCGTGATTCCGTACTGTCCGACTCTACACGGAACGGGAACAACCCAGAAAAGATCGGATGCCGCAACTCCTAAACATGAGAACAGCGAAGAAGCCATTTTGGCGGGAAGTCGACAGAACCAACCAGTGATCTTGTCCGTGGCGTGGATGGGTGGCCCTTACCCCCCATGCTGCAACAATCGATGCTGCCCTTCTTGCAACATTCAGATACTATGCCAAACGTTCAAGGGTCACATTTCGGGTGGCGTTTCCAGGTTGGCGACGGTTACCCCACGGCAGTACACTGTATTTCTCCGACGTTGGTTGTTTATACCATGTATTTTTCCATTTGTAGGGCATGACGGTGTGCCGCGAACAACTTCAGTTCTTGTACGCGGCATGTCTGTTCATGCAAACAACAATAATCTACTACGTCGTTCGTACTCTGCTAAAATGCCTTGTCTTCATGGTGACGGTTTCAATAGGAGAACGGAACGTGTTTGGTGATGGTTTGGATGATACTGCTACCTGCCTATTCTGCAAGCTGAAGTATGTCGTTTCCCATGTGCCGAGGTACAACCAAGCCTACGCGAACATGCCGCACCAGCAAGTTGCCGTCGTTGTTGTTGTTCTTCGAGTAATAATCCGTTGCGATCCCTGCTCAGTACATTCATCCGTCCTGCTTCAACTTCTGCGGATGCCATCCGTGACCACAAGAAGTTCGTTACCGGATAGATACAATGAACAAATGAACAGATGTCCATAAAACCCACAGATAACAACAAATATGGGCCTTGCAATCGAACGTAGCCCAGTTGTGCTCCATCCATCGCCAACTGTATTTGTCGTTCAATATGCGTTCGCATTGGATGACTTGGCCCGCGTGCACATCGATGACATGCACCAGGTGGGGCGCTCGCGTACGCTGGTTCGACGCAAAACAGGTCCACGGCGCGGAAAGTCTTGTCGACTGGGAGAAACACTAGTCGGCCACCGCCTGAAAGAAATGCTTGGTCGAGGAATGCAACCTCATCCTCAGTTGATTTCACCCACATTACGCCCAACAGGCCCAAGTCCATTCTTGGATCGGGCCGTGGAAGTAAGCGCCATGGCAATGTTCGACGTCGAACTAGAGTGATAACTCCGTCCGCACGCATGAATGATACAAACGCCCGCGGCGTCATCGACTGCGATGCTGTTGTCACCGTGTCTATCCGCGTCGGTCGCCGGCAAGGGCAACCGCGAAAGAAAATCCGCATTGGCGTTGGCAGTGCCATTGCTGTAGACAAGGGAATAATTGAACGAGGAATGGAACTCGAGCCAATTTTGAACGCCGGCGTTGTGTTCACCCACCTTGGCGATGCTTTCCAAAGCCTTGTGATCAGAATAAATCAGAAAGTGCGTAGACAAAAAAAAAACGCGCAGGCGTTCGATTGCCTACGCGATACTTCCAGCCTCCAAATCGAGCACTGTCCAATTGCGCTCGGATTCGAGCGTAGAGCGGCTAACGAACAGAATGGGGCGAACGGAACCATCGGCCTGTTCCTGTTCAAGAGCCACACCAAAGCCATCCACACAGGCGTCACAGTAAAGAAAGCCGGAGAGGGCGGCTGCCATCCGCGACAGCGTCCCAATCCGGGAAAGCCAAAACCGGAGCTTCGGACAGTTTCGCCAAGAGTTCTTTGACAGTATCTGCCATAGCCGACCTAAAACAAAACTTCACGTCCTTACGCAAGAGGTCGGTAAGTGGTTTCACGCGCACGGCCAAACCCTTGATGAATTTGCGGTAATACGAAATCCCACCCAGCAAGGAACGCAGCTGCTTTTCGTTGGTTGGCAGCGGAATTCTGAGAGGGCTTCGACTTTATCGGCACGAGGACTAACACCCGCAGGGCAGATGGTGTGGCCTAACGGACAGTCTCCTCAGCGCCGAGGCGACTCTTAAGAGGAGAAAGCTCGAGGCTGTACTGGCGCAAACGCTCCAAAAATAACCGTATGTTGGCGACACGGTGGCCGGGGTCGGCGTCAAACACAATCACATCGTCTAGGTATGCAAGCACATGGTCCAGACCTTTAACCACTTCGTTGATGACCATGGTGAACCACGACGGTGCAACGGAGCTTCCCTGAGGCATACGGAGCCACACGAAGAGTTGTGTGGGCGTGCGAAACGCCGTCAGCTGAACCGTGTCCTCCTCGGCGGTGATCTGGTGTAAAACGGAGTTTAGATCGAAAATGGGAAACACCTTGCCCTTGTGCGGGAATCGATGATGTGGTCAACACGCTGCTGTGGTTGTTGGCCAAGGCTGCACAATTTGTTTAGATTTTTGTAGTTCACGGTCAAACGAAGATTGCAGTCCTTTTTAGGCATGACAACCAGAGGGCGCGCCCACGGCGATTGCGAGTGCTGAATAAGTCGGCAGCAAGGTATTGATCGAGAATTGCATCGACTTTTTTCTCCACCAGAGGCCTGAGCCTACAGGGACGCGAGGCCAACGGTTTCGCCCCCGGGGGCACTTCCAAACGAAACGGTTTCACGGAACAGCAACCAAAATCGGACGGTGACCGCAAAAACACATCCGATAAGCCACACAGCACATCCGCCAGGCTGTTGGTGGCTTCAGGCTGTTGGTGGCTTCAGGCTGTTGGTGGCTTCCGGGGTCCAACCCGAGTCATGTAAATCAAAAGTGACATCGTGCAAATGTGCAGACAAACGTTGCCACAACTCGCGAAATCTCACTCGCTGCGTCCGAGAGGCGTTCCAACAGGTCCGGTAGCGGCGGTTTCGGCGGCAGTGAGGCCTCGGGAGAGTCCGAGATCTCCGGATCCGCAACCGGAATGTTCGAATGCAAGGAATTCACGCGAGACGGCGACCCACCCTCGGAACGGGTCGGCGGCGTAGGGTCACTCGACCCAACACTCTCAGCCGTCTGCGGTGTGGGATCGATCGACGCAAGCGGATTCTGCACAAGTGGGGCAGTCGCCACTCCAAGCACGTCACCGGGCTCCAACTCGGCGCACCCTGTCAGAAGGATGTGTTGAGGCCCGTCCGAAACAAACGCGTCCAACGCCGAGAGGGCGCCGTGTTTCGGTAATAGCGTGACAAGATAGTTGCCGGTGAGAGCTGGAGTGCCACAATTGCGAACGAGGTTCACCCTTGTCAATGTGGGTTTATCGGAAAGGGAGACACCCTTCCTGCCGGCGTACCGCACGAAGTAAGGTGCCCCGGGGGCGGAGGGTCCAGCGACATATGCGGAAGCTCCCGCCGCAAAATCCGACGACAGAGAAAGTTTCTCCATAATGCGTTCACTTGCCGACCGCGTGGGCCAAGTAGAAGACAAACGAGAGTTGAAACGCGTCCAACTCACGTCCAAGAAGGAGGGCGTGACCCATGGCGGCAGCTGGGACAACATACACCCACACCGCTAATGAAGCGGTGGCACTATGCCACAATGTTATGGAGGAACAGAGAAATAAAAGAGGGAGGGAGCAAGTTCGTTGCTCCTGGCTTCGGGTACTCACAGTTGTTGTTTGATCTCTTGTTTTAGCCTTCTTAGACCAGGTCCGCTCAGCGCCCACTCGGAGAGCAATCCTACGCGAGCATGTTTGCCGAGCAAATGAGGAAAGAAGGGCCAGCGTCCACCAAGTCGTCCCTTGGTGAACACAAAGCCAAGCAAGGGGAGGCCCTCGCGCATGGGGTCTGTACGCGCGTCGCGCACACGCCCGGAGCAAACGCACACGTCAAAACAAAAAGTGCCCTACCGAGTGAGTCAAAGAGAGCAACACCGTGCCCTCTCTAAAACCAAGTAACTACAAAAATCGAGAGGGCTGAAATGCGAGACGGTTCACGCGAACGATGAGCACCGAAGCGAAGGACCGGTGTCCAAATGCCAGACGATGCCACAATGCTATGGAGGAACAGAGAAATAAAGAGGGAGGGAGCAAGTTCGTTGCTCCTGGCTTCGGGTACTCACAGTCGTTGTTTGATCTCTTGTTGTAGCCTTCTTAGACCAAGTCCGCTCAGCGCCCACTCGGAGAGTGAGGGAGCGGGGCTGGGATTTTGATCTTCCTTCAAGCTATTTCAATACCCCTCAACGACGCAAAATATCCATATCCAAAGATAATTCAAAATATCCAATAAGCGCTCATACAACGCTCATGAAACGCTCGTATAGGCTCATACACTAATAGTTGCTCCATTACAATGAGCTGTTGGTAACGGTGCCGACTGTGGGAAGTAGAGTCAACCGCTTACGTACAAATGAAACGCTCGCCTTGTTTCGACACAAGCGAGAGAAGCGACCAACATTCTCAAAAAAATAAGAGCGTTCCAAGCCGAGTGTGACAGAAAGACCACACCCTGTACCTACTCTCGGATGTGCCTACGTAACGTTGAATATCCATACATACAAATATCGTTTTTTCATCATGGAACCTAGATCTGATGAAGTTCTATGTACAAAGCACGCACGTGATGCCCACCGATGGAGGTTAGTACCTACTTTGACGTCGACCACTCAATCTTCATTCAGTGATAAGACTATCCCTCTCGCCAGAAGAAACGCCGGTTTCTACTACCCAAGAAAATAGCCGTCAGAAGAACGGAGAAGGGAATAACGACAAAGAGAGAAAACCAACAAGAGGATCGGACACAGGAAGAGGGACTTATAGATACCTAAAGCGAAAAGGAAGGGCACGAGAAGCAGAGGAGAGAAGGAAATATCCCAGGAACGGAATAATGCAAGGGAGGCAACACATCACAAGAACGAACACAAGATCGAAAGAAGACCATGGTACAGAGTACAAGGAGCTATATTACGAGGAAGCAATGGTACGACCCAAGGGACCACAAGGATGGGGAGGATAAACGAGCAAGAGCGCAACGGAGCCAGGTGACAAGGAAACCAGGGAGTCAAGGACCACGTGCAAGAGAGCAAAGGACACAAAGACGGCAAGAAACGCAAATCCAACGAAACAAAATGTTGCAGAAACAACCCTTTTCCATCGGTAGCAAAAATTAAACTTCGGTGAGAGGACGCCCAAACGAGGTCCTGGTGAGCGGTGCGTCAGGTTCTGGCGCAAGGCGGACGCGGCGAACCATCTCACGACTGCTAAAGGCCCCCGCTTATTCCATCATACGACTTCGGCACCCGCGACAGGGTCATCACTGCATCCGCAATCTGCTTCTCTTCCGTACGGTGCAGGATCTTGACTGTCAGCTCCGGCCCTCCGAAAGTGAACTCTACGCGATAGGCGCGCTCCTGGCGGGTTTTCTTGGTCATGTCCAGGGGGAAACTGACTGTTCCGAGCTTGAAGCAGCTGTCCTCGTCCACAAAGGCCGGGTCCCTGGCGGAGCTAGCGTAGACCTGAATGCAGTTGGTCTCGTTCTCCAGCGAGACGGGCGTGTAGTTTTCCCGCGACGTGACGCCGTTGGTGGGGACGTTTTCTCCAATCCTGATGTGAGGGAAGAAACATCCGTCGACCATGACCTCGTCGCGGTCATCGTACTTGAGCGTCTCCCCGGCATCGCGGCGCCTCCGGTGCTCGGCGTTCTTCTCATCGAAAGCGTGCAGCACGCTGGCGCCGTAGGTCAGCCTCGCCCTGCGCGAGTTAAACACCGCGGACTCGTCGAAGTACTTCACGGCGCCCCTCACGATGGCGATGTCCGGCTCGCTCACCTCGACAACGCGGCAGGACGCGTGCTGGAGCTCAGCCCGCACTACCTGCATCAGGAGGGGGCAGCGCGAGAACCCGCCAACGACGAAAACTCGGTGGAGGTTGCGCAGCCCCGATCCCCCCTTGATGCCCCGAAGGCAGCGGGCGATGCTGTCTAGCGTGGGGGTGAAGAATGAAGTCACCAGCGTCGTCGGCAGGATGACCATGAAGCCTTTCCCGTCGACGCAATTCCGCCGGGATTCTCCGCGGTTGTACCGGGTACGCAGGTCCTGCGAGATGATGCGGGGAAGCAGCGGTCACAAAAGACGGGGGGTAGCTTTGTTTTACAAAATGCGCACACCCTCTGAGAGACACAAAAAATGGCACAGAAGTGCGACCGGCGTACCTTCACACATCGACTCCCGGCCAAAAGCCCTTTTCTCGCGCTTGCCCTACAGCTGGACGATAACTGTACGAGGGTGATGCATTCACATAGCGGCGCCAACCTCACCTAAACGTGTTCGGAACAACTTGGTTTCCATACGGTTGCGACAACTTTCTTCAAACGGAACACTATTTACTACGCGCCGTACCTCCAAGTCGTGCCTATCCATCAATTGTCGCTGCCCGAGAGCCGACAGATTCAACCGAACTGGCTCCGCCGATTCATGGCCATCGAACGCGGCCTTCTTGCGCTCCCAGAACTCCATGATGGACAGGAGTATTTCGGTCTTGGCGATCTTCTCGTACCACCCTCCAAGGAATCTCTGCAGCCACTTCTTGAACGCCTCGTCCACTTGTGTCGATCCCCACGCGCCTCCGGTGGGTGCTGCCACCTCGACCACATTCAGGGGGTTAATAGTAACGACGTTGTGCGTCGTAATGTCCACGGTCCCTCCCCCGCAGTCGACGATCATCATCTTCTTGCCCTCCGCGTCACAAGTCAGAGGGTTGTTTGCACCTCGCGGGATGACCGCCAGGCACGCTGCCTCCGGCTCCAGGCACAGGCGCAGGTTTGTGCTGCCGACCTTGTCGATCATCCCGGCCTCGTGGGCGGCCTGGCGCATGAAATGCTTGGCGAAGTCGTCGTAGACGGCGGGCACCGTCAGCACCCAGTTCACGTCTCGCGCACGAATCGTTCTTCCCGTAAGCGAAGACAGGAATCCGAGGGCGTCCTTCTTGAAGTAGCGGAGAGTGACTGTCATGACCCCGAGCAAGGGCACGACGTCACCCGACGTAGACGTGGCCGTGACGCGCTCGACCGTGGATTCGCCCGGCTTGGGCTTAAACAGGGTGGTCTTGTACCACTTGAACAGCGCCTCGTCGGAGGGGTCGCCTTCAGCAGTCGCTGTGTTCTCGGCGTGCCGCTCGAGCGCCGCTTGTCCGAAGGCCACCAGTTCCCCTCTGCCGCGCCGGTTGATGAGAGCCGCTGTTTCGGTTTTGGTTCTGGCGGACGGTGCAGGGCCTACGTCTCCAGGAATCCGAACGAAAATTTTTTCGTCGGTCTTGTCGTCGGGCTCGTCGCCACCAACCTTGTATGCCCAGGCGCTTCGGGTCGTCCCGAAATCGACGGCCACAACGATCCTAGGAGCCATCGGAGCACACACCTACGCCAAGCATACCACGGGGCGGGGGGGGACTGAGAATCAGCAAAGTCGTCAGGAGAACAAGAGCGCTCGGGAGGCGTGCTGGGGCTCGAATAGTGAAAAGCGCGGTGTGTCGATGGTCGACATCGTCTTTTCCCGCAAAGCACACGTTCAAGTTGCGGAAATGTTTGAGCTGATCACCGCGCTTGGGAAACTGGTAGAATGTGAACCAGGGGGTAAATTTATTTGTCGCGATTGTGTAGTTCCCTCTGTGTCGGCCTTCAGTTCTCTAACTACAGCGCCCATGCGCGCGTGCTGTGTGGCCGACACACGTGGCTGAAGGTAGAGGAGGTTCGGAATCTGCAGGCCAACATTTTCTCGAGTCCACAGTAAAGGGCAGGATTCGGGGAAATTAAACAATCCTGTAGTCTTATAAGTACCTTCAACTCTTCAAGATATGCAAGGTATTGCGATAGGTGATCGATAAGCAAGCATGANCAAAGCACACGTTCAAGTTGCGGAAATGTTTGAGCTGATCACCGCGCTTGCGAAACTGGTAGAATGTGAACCAGGGGGTAAATTTATTTTGTCGCGATTGTGTAGTTCCCTCTGTGTCGGCCTTCAGTTCTCTAACTACAGCGCCCATGCGCGCGTGCTGTGTGGCCGACACACGTGGCTGAAGGTAGAGGAGGTTCGGAATCTGCAGGCCAACATTTTCTCGAGTCCACAGTAAAGGGCAGGATTCGGGGAAATTAAACAAACCTGTAGTCTTATAAGTACCTTCAACTCTTTAAGATATGCAAGGTATTGCGATAGGTGATCGATAAGTAAGCATGGATCTATCTCTAGCTTGTGCGCGCGGGACTTTCTTACTTCCGGCGGCAAATGAGGACGGAAGAGCTTGCCGACCAGTATCTGAGAGGGGGAAGGTTCGGAATCTGCAGGCCAACATTTTCTCGAGTCCACAGTAAAGGGCAGGATTCGGGGAAATTAAACAAACCTGTAGTCTTATAAGTACCTTCAACTCTTTAAGATATGCAAGGTATTGCGATAGGTGATCGATAAGTAAGCATGGATCTATCTCTAGCTTGTGCGCGCGGGACTTTCTTACTTCCGGCGGCAAATGAGGACGGAAGAGCTTGCCGACCAGTATCTGAGAGGGGGAAAAGACACTTTTGTAAAGTGGGAGCGTGCAGAGTTCACGCCGCAACCGAGATTGCCATGTGGTTGCTCCCCCGAGGTGGACGGTTATTAGTTGATCTGCTGTGGAATTGAGGGTGTGGTGCAAGGCGAAATGTGAAGTTTTNCAAAGCACACGTTCAAGTTGCGGAAATGTTTGAGCTGATCACCGCGCTTGGGAAACTGGTAGAATGTGAACCAGGGGGTAAATTTATTTGTCGCGATTGTGTAGTTCCCTCTGTGTCGGCCTTCAGCTCTCTAACTACAGCGCCCATGCGCGCGTGCTGTGTGGCCGACACACGTGGCTGAAGGTAGAGGAGGTTCGGAATCTGCAGGCCAACATTTTCTCGAGTCCACAGTAAAGGGCAGGATTCGGGGAAATTAAACAAACCTGTAGTCTTATAAGTACCTTCAACTCTTTAAGATATGCAAGGTATTGCGATAGGTGATCGATAAGTAAGCATGGATCTATCTCTAGCTTGTGCGCGCGGGACTTTCTTACTTCCGGCGGCAAATGAGGACGGAAGAGCTTGCCGACCAGTATCTGAGAGGGGGAAGGTTCGGAATCTGCAGGCCAACATTTTCTCGAGTCCACAGTAAAGGGCAGGATTCGGGGAAATTAAACAAACCTGTAGTCTTATAAGTACCTTCAACTCTTTAAGATATGCAAGGTATTGCGATAGGTGATCGATAAGTAAGCATGGATCTATCTCTAGCTTGTGCGCGCGGGACTTTCTTACTTCCGGCGGCAAATGAGGACGGAAGAGCTTGCCGACCAGTATCTGAGAGGGGGAAAAGAAACTTTTGTAAAGTGGGAGCGTGCAGAGTTCACGCCGCAACCGAGATTGCCATGTGGTTGCTCCCCCGAGGTGGACGGTTTTTAATTAATCTGCTGTGGAATTGAGGGTGTGGTGCAAGGCGAAAATGTGTGTCTAAGTTTGGTAACGAATTCATGCTCTGTTGGCTGAGTGGAAAGATCTCCCGACCAGCCGCCGTGGAAAAACTCTTCATTCAGTTTTTGGATTGATTGGGAGTTCGGACTCGTTTTCAGGGACCTTGATTCCCGCTGACACTGACTTATGTCGGTTAGCGCGGTCATGTCCTTGTACACGCCTGAAAACACAATAATGGTTGCAAGATGCCGACTTTCACGCTGTTGGAGTATCCAGAAGATGATATTCCTTGGGGGATGGTCGTACATTTTTTCGCTGGAAGATGCTTGTCACGGAACTCGGCGTTCCTCTACCTTTTTCCTTGTGTGAAATCATACCGGTTTGTAATGATAGCCAAGTCATTCCTCTCATTAGTTTTTGCCGCACACACACCCGAGGACAAGAACGCAGGGTGCAGAAAATTTCGCCAAAGAAGACCACAGCACGACGTACGTGTAGCATGTCGATGCCATAAAAAAATTAATGGTGGTGAGATGCACAGCAGTCTACCGTAAAGTCTACGACACAAGGTAACCCATCCTCTGGGCCGACTGTCAAAGCCCGATTGCGCCACGTCGAAGAGGGCGCAACAACGAAACGATACATTTCGGAAAACTCTCGAAAAAGAAGGCTTCAACGCCGCCGTTTTCGGTGCTGCGAATACTG